GAGGCGAGAATGCTTTACTGCTGAAATCGTAACATGAAATCTAAGATCAGCCTCACCACTCAAGAATTCACCATCTTCAGGAGCTTTTTCACTACTTTCCGAATCACCTTGAACTTCACTGACTGTTGAAAAGAAAAATCGTCACATAGACTTGGTTCATCTTCAAGCCCAACAATGTCTTCAGCTACCTCGTATGAACTTGCCTGCATAGAAAAAAGAGAAACGAACCAGCAGTAAGACAATATTAAGGATTTGTCCATTCAGATGTTAGATCTTGAAGTGCAAGCACAGAAGTGAATTTGTAGACAAAGCAACAAACGACATGAGAACGACATGACAAAGTTAGCCGTCATGTATAGAAGCTGGAACCCAAGACAATGGCAGCTGTCGAATGTTGTCGGTATGAAAGCAGCCGTACACACTGGAGCTGGCATGCCACATGCTCTAACCAGTTAACCTTGTTTGTTGTTTCTTTTGCTCTTTTTTGTGACAACCGAGTATAGCATGGTAATAAAAAGTACACATTGTTCAAACTTCGTGCTACTTACTGCATAGCAATTTCAGACAACAAGCAATATACTCTTCTATTCTGCAACTAAGCACTCTAGCAAGGGGAATGAGCTAGGAATCAGGTCATCAATTAGTCCATGTCGTTGCATACTACTTGTGCATTTAGAGTAACCGTCATAATATTTTGGCTTCATTTGCACTCGCAGCATGACAGCAGATAAGAAACTGAAAATGAGGGCAGCAAACTGATTCGATCATAATAAGATCACAGAAGCTGTAATACCGGACAAGTCATGAGAACATATCCTTATAGGTTCTGACAAAAAAGAGTATCAGTCTTATCTACACAATTTTCTCTATCACTGTCTTTTCATATGCTAAGCGTTTTGATTGACTAGCAACATCGAACGAAAAGGATAATATCCAAGCACATCTTCTTTAATACTCTTTAATGGTTTTTACATGAAAAGTACTCAGTAGCTTAAACAGAAACATTCTACGCCAAGAATTCTTTCTACCTCAGCTTTCACTACTGAGCAATAATTACTTCATTCATTTTATTACATTAAACTTCATTTAAAGCTCCATTTATGGTCTGCAGAATTCCCATCATTACACTACTACAACCCCCCTCCCCCATGCTCCTACCACTGTGCGCCCAGCGGATGCACGTGAGCCAGCTGACTGCATGGCCCCGAGGAGGAAAGCTGTGAGTTACTGGAAAAAAAGCGGTTGCCTCACATTAGCGCAAACGTAACAGCCCCGTGTGAGAATCGGACATGCCAGAAGACAATAGTTACTTCAAAATAGAACTTACCTGAACGGCATATAGGGTAGCAGACAATCCTTTTTTCTCGCTCCACACATTCCAGAGAGAAATTTTGATCAGTCGCTAAGCGCCGACTATTGCACCTGCCCTCCACGGGCCCATCATTTTAACAAGTAACGGTACTGACGCAAAAATAAGAACACCTACACACACACACACACACACACACACACACACACACACACACACACACACACACACACACACACACACAGACACACACACACACACATGCACACACGCACACGCACACACACACCCACACACACACACACACCATTCTATACCAGTGAAATATCAGCATTTAGTCGTACATTAGTACATGTGCTGTTATTGCACTGCCCTCCTCAGTTAGCTGCGATAACTTGGTCTATTCAGTACGTGACTCCGAATGTCGCAAGTTCAAAATCCGGCTTTCTTACCTTTTTTTAGGTTTTTGACTGTCACTTTGTGAGAGAAATAACCTGCCTGCTTCGAATAATTAGTTGTTTTTTGAGAAGAAAATTAGATTGAAGGCTTAAGTTCTTTTTAAAAGTCCCGACACGTACATCATTATTGCTTTTCTGCTGGTGCGCCACTTGAATGAGGCACCAGCGTGATCTTGCCGGCTTAATCTATTACTAGGAGAAATAGTCCTGAGCCCAAAAAAGGAAATAGCGGAAATCCTTAGCGCACTAATAAAACGTCTACGTAGCCTTGGGTGTTTGTTTGAAACCGGAACTGAATATACAAAAAATGTGACAACATATTCAATATTAAAAGAGTTTTTATGCGTGTTATTGCTATATTTATAGTTTAGAGTTCCAGTTTTTTTTTCGATTGAAACGGTAAAGTTCATAGGCCAAGAATATTTTATGCTATTATACATCTTTTTAGTGGTAAAACATTATCTTTTATGGCTCTGTAATGAACACTGTCGTGTTTTCTTTTAATGGTTTTTACAGAAAATCTTGTGTGCGTGAACAATTGCTTGCATGCCAACTGTTACTGAGACGCAATTCTTATACATATTATACCAATTGGACAAGATTAATAAGGTTTCAAGTGTGAAGAACCTGTGGTTGTAGTAGCCACCTTAGTACGGCGAAGATTGAGCCGCCAGACGTTGGTGACTTCACCCCTGGGGACGCCAACAGCGCTTACAGGGACCACCGATGAGAAGACCAGAGGCTGCCGCTACGACACCATACATCAGCATACAACAGGTGAAGTAAAATTTCGAGTTCCTCATTACATGGTCCGCGTATTGTGTGCGTACGTTGAATGTCTGTTTTCGCTAGCCTCGTACAAGAAGAGAATCCCCCCACCCGTACTTGCAATATGCTCAACCACGCCATGCTTAATCAACTAGGTCATGTTCATGAGCACTTTTTGACCGCTAGCTGCATGTAACCTGCGTATAGAGTACCGTACGCAAAGCATGCAGGTGTAGATTTGCGAGCGTCATGTAAAGGAAGCCCGCGAGAGGTTGGCTCGGAACGCACGCGCATCACAAACGCGAAGCTTTGCGTGCGCTGTTCTAAAACTGCACATACAACAGTATGTGCTCACGCCGAGCTGCCGTCGACGTCAGAGAGGCATGTCAGAGAATACTGCGCTTTGCGCAGTGTGCAAATCCAATGTACCTTGGTTTGCAATTTTTTTTTATTCGGAGTGAACCTACGATGGTATTCAGGTGACTTGTTGAATACCACAGTTATTGGTCACCTGTTTTGTCCCAAATGGACTGAACTCGACAGGTGCAAGCGACTCATTATTATTATTGAATTATTTTCATGTACTGCAGCCCAATGCAGAGCTAATACAGGAGTCGGGTACATAAGTACAATAGGAATGAATAGCGATAAAGTCACGAGTTCTTCAACAGAACAAATATTGTTACATGCAAAGCATAACTGGGTTCAAAAGGAAAAAATAAACCATATAGGTCAATGTAGTAAACAATAATGCTCGAAACAAACTGCATTTCAACATATTAGTAAATGCAAAAATGGTCTACATCAAGCTGGAAGAGCATTAGCATACGCGATGTAATCATCACTACATAGCCGACATATAATCTTCAATGCACTGCACCACAGTACTCATAGCTTCAGGAAAAGCTCGTAACAAGCATGTGACGTGCGAATGCCGAAGCTTACCAGCTTTTAGGTTCCTTTAGTACCGCTCATACATTATTTTTCTCCATGTGAATATAAATATTTTCTCAGTGTTTGTTCACTAGCAGTTTTTCTCTGCTAGTGAAGTGTTTGCAGCTCAAATATGCAAGCTCCCCTGTGTTTTGACACCAACCCTGTTTATGTGCTCCTTTTGTCACTGACCATGGCTGTTTTACCTTTAGACGCTATCGTCATTGCCTAATCTTTCCAAACAATACGATCAGCGCATCTCAGTCAAGAAAAAAAGATATCAGGACTCTTACCATCACTGACATGCCACTTTGAGGCTATAAAAAAATGTCATGCCTACTGAGATCGTAGAATACTCCCATTTGACTATGCATAATATATCAGAGTTTTCTAGTGGAAACGGCTACATTATCGCCGTTTTGCTGCATTCAGGTGGTTGCACTACTCGCCGCGTTACCTGACTTGAGAAAGCAAACAAGCAAACCCCATATCAACTGCATTTACAATTCAAAGTCAAAATTGTGTGTGCATGTTCAACTTTATTGTGCTGTTCAGACTTAACGGAGGAAAAGCTGACATTGCATCGTAGATATAGAAATGGCGGCTCGGTCGGAATTGTTGGCAGATATAAAAAGCGAGTCGGGGCCTATGGGCTTAAAGGAGACATGGATGTCAAAACAAAACCAAAAAACAGGCAGCAAGCTAAGGACACATAGGAAGAATGTGCTACATGCCTCAAAAATAACAGCGGTGTAGAGAACCAATCTGAAAACAATAGATAGAATTAGTGGGCATACGCAGCAGTTTTGTGGATTCAGCCTCCCAGCTATTTCCTATGGCAGGCAGTGTTCGCAAAGCTACTGCAAATGTTAGCTAAGTGTTACCGTTAGAAACATTTGTACCTCTCGCTGCACACACCCAGGCATATCTGAATTAAGTCACAGGCATTTTTTTTTCAAAGTGGCATTCCATGGCAAATCAACCAGACCATCACGAATATGGCCGAAATAACTCCCGCATCTTTCTTAAAGTTCGAAACCGGTCCTGCTTGCCTACAGGGCTGTGTTATCGCTCATTGACACTGGCTCACCTAGGGACAGTTATCGCTATAATTGAGGCCTTTCTTGCCAAGTCCTGGCCATAATACCACTATATTTATGAGTGGATGTGACACTACAGGTGCTCTAGAGCTTTTTGCTAATTATGTCAAATAAGTGAATTCTCTATGAACCGTTGAAAATTTTGCGTTCGAGTGCATGAATTTAAAGTGGGTTTTTAATAGTTCAGCTCAGCATCGGTTGGCCAGTTTTACAGCTCTTCAGTTCATTTCCTAATGTCCTCTCAAAGATATATCAGTGTGGTTCCGCTGCATGCATTTCAGTTCAACGTGTAATTCAGAGCTTATCAAACTCAGCATAGAGTTTCAGTCATAGGGATGAAATAATCTGTGCTCGTTTGCTCTTTTATAATAAAATAATTTTTCGTTTTTGTGTGTGCAGGTTCACCTAGCTATTGATGTAATGCCCTGAAAAGCTGCCGTGAGTCGGCTGGTGAGTGTTCCGAGGGCTTCCATTTGGTCAAGTGGTCTACCATCACAGCGAGGTAGACAGAGGCCAGTACGACACGCATAGGAGCTTCACGGAAACCGTTGGAATGGGTTTGCGGCAGAAGGAGGCCACAAGCCTGTACAGCGGCAGTTGCCTCCCAAAAGGATGAAGCAAACAGAGGTTAGTAAGGAAGCTTGCTCATTTCAGTGGAGTTTATGTTTTGTCATGGATGCGTTTTATAACCTATTTCCACTTTGGCGAATACAGTGCCCTATTTATGAGCACAGCTGCAAGTATTATTTCCATCCACAGAATTTCTAGCCATGAGCACACTTAGCTTGAATGTTTTGACGCAGCTTCTTAACTTGCTTTGAGTGATGCCAGTGGTGCTAAGAGTTACGCTCTGCATGTTTGCTGCACCTTACATTATAGATGAGGTGGGTTTTGATTTGAATATTTAAGTTTTGTTTCACGTCTGCCTGCACAGTGGGCTTAATGCACTCGCTTTACAAGTCCATTTTGTCATGTTTTGCTCATGGCTATGTTCCACGCACCCCCATAAAATTTGTTTCCTTATGCTTGTCTCTGCAATGAACCATTCTGTGTGACAGCTAACACGCTATTTATTTTCGAAATAGCAGTTGCAGCTTGAACGAAGTAATATAATCGTATAGAAGATCAACCGCTTGCACACCACGTTTCAGATTTACTTATTGTGGAACATTTACAAGCGCTATGATTGTGCATTTCTTAATTTTTCTAATACTTTACTTTTTTAGCAGAAGCTGCAATTTCAAACTAGAAAGGTGCGTGAGTTGTCACGCAGAAAGTTCATCGCTGAGATAAGCGTTGACAGCAAATGTCATGGCCTTGCGTAAAAATGTCCATGAGCAAAATGTGGCAAAAGCGGACCTGCCAAGTGTGTTTTCGACCCACCAGTTAGACAGAAGTGAAGTGAAAATTTACTGGAGAAATCGAACTGCGCTTCATCGATTATTTGTTGCAGTAAAGAAACCGTGTTCAACAATTGGCAGCGTGAGCACTAGTTGAAACAGGTCCCCTGTGGTGGACTAGAGCTGACGCTGCACAGCCGTCAGCACCTTTAACTTTATTGATCCGACACGTGGCCTCAGCTCGCTTGGACAGAGGTCAGTGCCACCAAGTGTTGAAAATGATATGCTTGCTGCAGTTAGCGATAGATGTATCGCGCGACAGTGTCACTCGTAAATTTCTGTTTCCAGACTGCCTGACCGGCGGGCCGAATGCATTTCTTTCGCATCCCGGTTTCGCGACGTGTCGCTTTTGGCTACGTTATCGCGTGCACCCATGACATTCGTTTTATCATTCCTTTCTCGACAAACAACTATTGCGTGTGAAAACTTACGCATCTTCCGTGTTTGAATTGGCAGCACTGTTCAAAAGGAATCACACGTATAAAAAGAAGAGCAAACGCACACTCAAAGTGTTTGTAAAAGTTGCACAACAAATCTGAAATGCAGTAGCGTTCTTCATGTTTTGATTCATTTTGAGCATGAATTCAACTGCTCTCGCAATTTAGAGCATGCTTTCCTGCTCGGTTTGCGCTGCAGCGAATATGTTGTCTTGAGGCACAACATTTAAGTGGGTAAAAATATCTGGGCTTTGGCGTGCCAGTACTATGATTTGAATTTAAGAGAAGATGGCAGTTTAAGCTTTTATGTTATAACTACGCACAAAAATTGCTTTGTTTGCGTTGTATTTATGAGCCTTTCTTGCTGACAACATGAACAAACATTGCGCTCCATATGACATCCTTCGTGCAGCGTGAAGCGAACAAAAAGACACACTCTAAACTGCGAGAACAGTTCAATTGACGCTGTCTGAAAGTTATTGACTCAGAACATGAACAACACACCGTATTTGAGATTTCTTTATTGTGCAACTTTTACAAACACCTTGAACGTGCGCTTGCTCTGCTATATATTGTCACGGGGTCCTGACGTGGTCGAAGACAGGAGACTTTGTGTCGGAATTTAACTGTTTATTTGGGCGAACCTGCGCCCGGTAAAAACGGAAACTTCGAATACAGTAGCAGTCTTGGACTGATAGCGGCGAACAAAGCGTCGGCCGTCGATCAACTACTCACAAGCGGCGAACTGCGTCGGCATTTATACTCTTGTCATCGAATGTTCTAGCGTTATCGCTGGTGGTGGCGTAGGTTCCAGAATAATCTGTACAGTTCCTAGAGTGGGCGTGATCTTATCGAAATGATCTACTAGAGTCCGGAAGCTCCTCGAAAACTGCACGCGCGTTTTGCGCTGACAATTGTGTAGTGTTTTGGGGTGATAACAAAACTTGAGAAATGGAACGCGGCATTGGCCCCCTCGGAAAAAGGCATCGTCCCGATGCTTTAACTAAAGATGAAGGTACAACAATTATGCAAGAAAGTACAATGAATAAATTAGGATAAAATAATAATACAAAAAACACTCTTTCAGTTTGTTAACCCGCATGAAACGGCTTGAGGCACGCGACATGGACGACTTCAGGTCGTGATCGGCGTCCTTGAGTGTTCGTAAAGCCGTCGGGGACAACCTCGTAATCAAGTGGGCCGAGACGTCGAACCACCCTGTACGGTCCGAAATACCATCGCAGAAGCTTTTCACTTAGTCCACGTCGGCGTATCGGCGCCCACACCCAAACACGTTCACCAGGCTGGTATTCCACGAAGCGTCGTCGAAGATTGTAACGGCGGCTGTGTTGATTCTTGATACGGAGACGCGCGAGTTTTCTGTCTTCTTCGGCGCGTAAGGTACTCACTCACATCGAGGTTCTCTTCGTCGGTGACGTTGGGTAACAAGGCATCGAGAGTGGTTGCCGGGCTCCTTCTGTAGACCAATTTGTATGAAGATATCTGCGTCGTCTCCTGCACCGCCGTGTTGTATGCAAAGGTCACGTACGGAAGAATGACGTCCCACGTCTTGTGTTTTACATCAACGTATATTGCCAGCATGTCGGCGATCGTCTTGTTAAGCCGCTCGGTGAGGCCGTTGGTCTCTGGGTGATACGCTGTCGTCCGGCGGTGGTTTGTCTGGCTGTATGCTAAGGTCACTTGAGTTAAGTCCGCAATAAATTCCGTTCCTCTGTCGGTGATAAGGACCTTCGGGACGCCGTGACGTAGGACAATTTTTTCGGCAAATAACTTAGCTACCTCGATACAGAGCCTTTGGGAAGGGCGTTTATCTCAGCGTAGCGGGTGAGTAAGTCGGTAGCTACCACGATCCACTTGTTTCCGAAAGCCGACATGAGGAATGATCCCAGTAGGTTCATACCAATTTGCTGGAAAGGTCGGCAAGGTGGTTCGATTGGCTGCAGAAGTCCCGCTGGCTTTGTCAGTGGTGCCTTGCGTCGCTGAACGTCCCAGCATGTCCTCACATAACGAGTGACGTCAGTGGTAAGACGTGGCCAGTAGTACATTTCTTGTATCCTCGCGAGCGTGCGAAAAACACTGAGGTGCCCTGCCCTCGGATCGTCGTGCAGGGCCTGCAGGAGGTCTAGTCCCAGAGCTGAAGGCACCACAAGGAGGTACTTAGCTCAAAGCGGTCAATTTTTTTTTGTAGAAGACCGTTTCGCAGAAAGAACCACGCAAGTGCGCGCTTGCATACCTTCGGGACTTCGGCGGTCCTGCCTTCGAGGTATTTTATTAGGGCCTTAAGTTCCGGGTCGGCCAGCTGTTGTTCATCGAAGTTGTCGGTGGTTATTGTTCCCAAGAAGTAGTCGTCATCCGGGTCGTCGGGTGGAGGTTGGTCAACAGACGCACGAGAAAGACAGGCAGCGTCGGAGTATTTCTTGCCGGACTTGTAAATGACAGTAATGTCATATTCTTAAAGTCTCAGGCTCCATCGTGCGAGGCGACCTGAAGGGCCCTTCAAGGAGGCAAGCCAACACTAGGCGTGGTGGTCGCTCACAACTTTGAAGCGCCGGCCGTAGAGGTAGGGGCGCAATTTTGACGTAGCCCAGATGATGGCGAGGCACACCGTTTCTGTTGTGGAATAATTGGCTTCTGCTTTGGACAGCGATCGGCTGGCGTAACAAATAACCCTTTCAAGTCCGTGAGCCCACTGCACAAGAACGGCGCCAAGACCTAGGTTGCTTGCGTCAGTGTGTATTTCTGTCTCGGCGAATTTGTCGAAATAGGCAAGTAATGGAGGCGTCTGTAAGCGATGTTTAAGCTCCTGGAAAGCGTGTTCCTGCGGCGTTTCTGACTTGAACTGCACGTCGGCCTTGGTAAGGTTAGTGAGAGGATTGCCGATGCGGGCGAAGTTTTTCACGAACCGCTTATAATAGGCGCACAGGCCCACAAATCGGCGCACCGCCTTCTTGCCAGTGGGCAGTGGGAAGTCGGCGATGGCGGCTGGTTTTCGTAGATCAAGACGAACTCCAGACTTGCTAATATCGTGCCCCAGAAACAACAGCTCCCCGTATGCAAATCTGCACTTTTCTGGCTTCAAAGTGAGTCCGGACGTCTTGATGGCTTGAAGTACAGCTTCAAGGCGCCGAAGATGCTCGTCAAAACTTGAGAAAAACACGAAGACGTCATCCAAGAACACAAGACAAGTCTGCCACTTCAATCCTGTCATTACTGTATCCATAACGCGTGGAAAAGTTGCAGGCGCTGAGCAAAGACCGAAGGGCATGACCTTAAACTCGAAGAGGCCGTCCGGTGTTATAAACGCCGTCTTCTCTCAGTCTCTTTCGTCGACTTCGATTTGCCAATAGCCAGTCTTGAGGTCCATTGACGAAAAGTACTTGGCGTTATGGAGCCGAACAAGTGCGTCGTCCATTAGTGAGAGAGGATACACGTCCTTTCTTGTGATTTTGTTCAGGCGGCGATAATCATCCCAAAAACGTAGGCTCCCATCGTTCTCCTTCACTAACACCACGGGGCCTGCCCATGGACTCTTGGATGGCTGGATGACGTCATTCCGCAGCATTTCATCAATTTGTCTCTTCATGGCGTCACGTTCTCGCGTCAAAACCCTGTGCGGACTCTGACGGAGTGGTCTGGCATTTTGTTCGGTTATGATGCGATGTTTCGTGATTGGGGTATGGCGAATTTTTGATGAAGATGAAAAGCAATCTTCGTATTGCAGAAGCAGGGCCTTGAGCTGTTCTTGCTTATGACTCAGCAGTACGGGATT